TAAGTCCAATGGGTATTTCATATATCCAATCCAAATAATGCTTGGGTATATTAACTAATTTCAAGATATTACAGTTCATTGTAAAACTCTAGCAACAAATAACTTATAATTATATTGTATACTGTACTAGTGATAATATGGATGAGAGTTGTGTTGCTTGGGGGTGGAGATTAGGATATGTTTAGAAGAAAGGTTTCCTTTTGAGGGGTATTGTACAGTATAAATATTTTTCTATAGCCCTACAACCTAAATATCTTTCTTTTTATCATATATCAGCTCTGCTTAAAATTTTAAGGGTTAAATTTGTGTAATCTAATACAGGTGTTTGTATATTACTTTGCATGTTGGACCTACTGCAATTTTCTGTAAAGATTAATCAATTATTTTTCAATCAAGAGGACAATCCTTAGTGTAAATGGTGTCAGTAGGCCACTTAAGAGGCCTGTTGATTATTTTTGTAGATGTTTAAGAAACTAGGAGGATTTGAGCACTCATACAGTTTACATTCTTCCATCTTATTTACATATACTGTACAGCAGCAGGTATAATTGTTTATTCCAGAAAATTGTTAATGTCCTCCAGTGTGGGTTTGTAGATGAAATAACATATTCATTCCATATTAATGGATAGTTTTAGGTATCCAGTGTATTCCTTTCATACTTTCTTTAGTATCTAGTCTAGTCACTTTGGTGCAACCTAATGTAAGATGTGACAGCTTCCTTGTTTTATTGTTTTCTTTTAGTCATGATTCTTGTTAAGTTTATAGGTACAGTCTATATTTATGTTGTCTTTACTATAACATCACATTGAAGTGACGTCTTTGCCCCTGGTTGGGTGGTAGCTAAAAAGTAACTTAGTTTTACAAATAATACTGTGTAACAGATTCCCTTTGCATTGCTCTTATGCAATTAGTATATCTTTTTTTCCAGCTTTTATGAAAAATATATTTTATTTATTTGAATTATTCAATTATATAAAAATCTTGTTTGCATATGAGTTTCATTTACTCCTATTCTCCCGGCCTTTCAGCCCAAAATTTAGAAAAATTTAATTACTGTATCTTTAAAATCTCAATATTGTAAAGATAAATTAAGTCCTCATTTAACGTTGCCCCTGACAACGTTGTTTCGTTATAACGTCGCTACTCTTTAGATACCCATGATTCAGACAACGTCCCGCCGATTCGGTATAACGTTGTCACGGACTACTTTGTACGGTGCATCACCCTCTTTCATCCAGTCAGAGCGGCAGCAGGAGGAGCCACCCTCCTCTCCTGCCCTCCTCCTCCTCTCACCACCCTCCTCTTCACTACCCACCACACACTTGCTCCACCTCCACCCATCAGTGAGTACAATACAAAATGATTTAGTTTATTAATCTTTTTTGATGTATAATATACAGTACAGTATACTATTTTCTATAAAAATTCCATTGAATTTATGTACTGTATATGTAATGTATTTTATGGGACAAAGGGAGGCTTGGGAACGTAACTCCCGTATTTTATCTATTTCTTATGAAGAAAATTGATTCCGTTAACGTCACGGCTTTCAGGAACGGAACCACAACGTTAAGCTAGGACTTACTGTACTTCTCAATATGTTCATTAACATTCTTGGGATCAGCCCCATCCTTAATAAGTGTTACTAGACTTCACTCTTTAGATCGTGGTATTTGCCTTTGAAAGCATGCTCAACATATTTTTTGTAGTGCATTTTCTGCAGCTAAAGAAATTAAAAATTATTTACCGTACGTGGAATGTCTTCAAGTGTAAAAAGGTGCATTCATAAAAAGAAAATTCTATACTATATATATATATATATATATATATATATATATATATATATATATATATATATATATATATATATATATATATATATATATATATATATATATATATATATATATAGCTACTCCTCGACTTACGACACACTCGACCTACGACCACCCGCACATACAACCTGCCTCAATCGGTACCAAAATTTTTTCAAATGACACGCGTATTTTCTAGACGGAAACGTTTCTGTCGCATGGGCTGGATCACCTCATGGCTACAGCACCCACGCCGTAGAGCGCTTAGTTGGTGTTTGGCCGTCATTGTTGTCGATAGTGATCGTGCTGTGTACTGACATTATTTTAGTATCTAATTCACTTTATAATGACTGGCAAGCGTAGAAGTGAGAGTGCTGGTGGTGCTCAGAAGAAGAAAAGACAGTCAATTACTTGAGATGAAAATGAAGATAATAATGCAGTATGAAAATGGAAAAACGGTAGCAACCCTTTCACGAGACCTAGGCTTCTCGCACTCAACCATATCGACTACAGGCATCCCCCACGTTACGGGAGCCCGGGTTACGGAATTTTGCTCTTACAGAATTTGTAAGTTATGACCAATAATTTCGAGTTACGGCCCGCAAATCCGCCCTTACGGAAATTGGGGTAAATTTTAACAAACACAAGGCCTCACACATGCCATTCAGACTGACAGACTTGACAAGTTTTACCAACCATAAAGACAGTTGAAGCTTTAAATATCACTCACAATGGATCTTGAATATTCCAACTGTAATCAGACATACCTAAGTTGCCTTAACAATTGCAACCCCAGTTGCAATATCAAATTCTGTGTCACTACTAAAAATTAATAGTCCCTGGTGCAGTCTTAAGTTTAAGAGAAAACGGACGACTCAGGAGTGCTGAAATGAGAGAAAACGGACTCCTATGACGGGGCACTCAAATAAACATACACATAGCTGTATAATGCACTATTATGCAATATTAACCCCTAAATTGGTGTTTTAAGAAGGTATATCATAAATTATTTAATGTACTGTACTGTATGTGTTTATAAATGTTTATTTTCATTAATAAAAGTGCTTGAATTACTTTTTTGGGGCCGAAAAAATTCCTTAGGAACGCATCTCCAGTTTTATATGGGAGTCAATGGGAAAATAGGTTTCGCGTTACGGAATTTCGCGATACGGTCAATTTTACGGGAACGAAACCCTTCCGTAACGCGGGGGATGCCTGTATTTTGAAGGACAAGGAAAGTATTCGTGAGGTAGTGAAAGGATCAGCACCTATAAAGGGAACTATAATAATGAAGAAAAGACAAGGTCCTATTCATGAGCTGGAAAAATTACTTGTGATGTGGATGGAAGATCAGATACAAAAGCGTGTACCCTTAAGCCTTCTAACCCTACAGGCTAAGGCAAGAAGCCTTTTCGAAAGCCTGAAGGAGCAGGCAGGAGATGAGTGCGACCAAACCTTCACAGCAAGTTTAAGAACCGCCACAGTTTGCATAGTGTAAAGGTGAGTGGAGAGGCAGCAAGTGCTGATGTGGGTGCTGCCGAAGCTTTTAAGGAGGAGCTAGATCATGTCATCGTGGTGGGAAATTATTTGCCTGAACAAATATTTAATGTGGATGAAACTGGCTTATTATGGAAGCGCATGCCAGAACGGACATACATCCACAAAGAGGCTAAAACAATGCCAGGATTCAAGGACCGAATCACACTTTTGTTGGGGGGGGAATGCAGCTGGTTTCAAGATAAAACCCTTCATGATATTATCATTGAGAGAACTCAAAGGCTTTCAAACATGTCAGCAAGCACACACTGCCAGTGTTTTATCGTAGTAACAAGAAAGCATGGATGACCTTAGTACTGTTTGAGGATTGGTTCCTGACTTGTTTCATTCCACGAGCCAAGGAGTCTTGTCTGCAACAAGGGATTGCATTCAAGATTTTGTTAATTTTGGATAATGTTCTGGGACACCCACCACACCTAGACGACCTGCACCCTGATGTTAAGGTAGTCTACATTCCACCTAACACTACCTCTATCATCCAACCCATGGATCAAGGTGCTATTGCTGCTTTTAAAGCAAATTATTTATGTACGACCTTCGCTCAGGCTGTTGCTGCTACTGAAGGTGAGAAAATGCTCAGAGAGTTTTGGAAGGACTACAACATTTTGAAATGTAGTACCCCCACATTCCTACCTCCCTGCTCAGTGCCCCCACAAACCTACCCCTTGCTCAGTACCTCCACACACCTGCCCAACTACTCAGTACCCCACAAGCCGCACTCACCACACCTCCCGCCCCCAACCCTCTGATATGGAAGCTTTAAAATGGCGAGTACAGCCAAAATTAATGCTGTTTTCATGTTTTATATACACCAAACTACACCCTTTAAGCGCCCCCAAATCACCTTTTGCCGATGAGGGATGATATTTAACATTCCATAACTCGACCAATTACCTATTAAAACATTTTCATATTGATTTGGAATATTGTTTATTCCAGTAATTAGTTTCATCACCTATAAGTTTGGGACTTCAGTATCAACAGTATAACTACAGCAGAATCTTAAGCTTTTATTTGACTATAATTTTATCCCCCCCTCCACCTGGTTCTAAAAAAAAAAGTCTGGTCAAGTATTTTATATTTGAAAATCTGTCAACCCTGCCCGTCTGATATGTCAGACTTGACCTTAAAAATCTGTAGAGATCTTCCTTTGAGGTCAAACAATCCACACACATCAAGGAAATAGGTTGCGTTGTCGAGAATTTATTTGGCCAACAAGAAACAAAGGGAAAAAAATAGAAAATATATTCTGGGAACAGGATAACTAGTTAAGAATAAAATTTCAAAAGCCTTTTACTACAGTACTCGGTCTTTCTCAGGGCACAGGAAATGCAACAAAGTTCAGTAAACATCAAAATGTGATGAAAAGATTGTCCCTTCTCAAGCAATGTTTCAAAGAAATTAAATTTCCATATTACTTACCTCTGTGGATGTGTCATGGGAGGTGACTTTAGCCCGTGACATCTAACGTCAGTGACCATAACCCAGCTCAAGCAAAATGGTACCTGTGTTACTTCACAAGCCATGCAGTTCCGGTATTGTTAAGGTTCAAGGCAGTGTCACATACAGTACTCCGTTAATACCTTGAGCAACCACCAGTTTTACCTGAAGGGGAGGTATATAACACATTAATTTCAAAATGACAGTTTAATACATTCAGTGATAAGGTACATTTATACAAAAAATATGGCCCAAAGGTGCAGAGCTGACTGTGTGGGCCCCAAGTCAAAACATGAGCCTTGAGAGAACTAGGCTCCGTCCACCGACTGAGTGTCAACTGCTGGCAATGGTGAGTCACTTTACAACACAACAAAGAAGAGAACAGAGAGTTAAACACAAACAATGAACACAAGTGTTTGATATCCTCTAAAACATAGGGGACATAATTTATACAATAGATGTAAAAACAGTCTGTAGGTCACTACTTCCGGAACTATAACAGGGATTTATATAAAGCCATTGCCATGCAAAACTTCTGTGAATCCTTGAAGATTTCTCATACTTTAACATTGGATAAATGTTTGATAACAGAGTTTATAATACACCAACAAGAATTCTTGTATATCACATCTTGACCCTTCAAAATGAAATTGGTACATTTTGTGCAGCGTGAGTATTTTAGGCTTCTAGAAATCTCCAAGTGTATATCACATCTAGTAAGTGAAAACCAGAATATTCACTGATAGAAAGCTTGACCGTACGATGTTCAACCACAGTAATATGGATTGACACAACACTTATTATAAAATTTGGTCATTCCATGGCCACCTACAAAAATACACAACTCGACACATCCTTCTGTAGAGATTCAGCCGCTGTTGCTGTTGTTGGTGGTGGTGTGTGCCAACCTCACGACACCTACACCTACTTTCTGTATGCTGGCAATTTTTCAAATTTGAACTGCATCTGTGTTCTCGAGTATGCAGGTGTTGACACCACAATGGAATGTTCACTCATCTTCTGCTGTCCCAGACCTTTGTCAGTGGTCCCTGATTATGTTACAGAAATTTAGTTAATAAAATCTTGTGTAGTAGTTCCACGCTGAAGCCATGTTTCTACACTGGTCTGTTTTACAATACCACACTAATGCCATCTGATGGTTTAGTCTATCCAACGGATAAAATCTATCTATAAGGGATAATTTTACACCCTCACTCACTGTAAATAGAAGGTAAATGGAGGGACTAGGGAGTGAAAGAACGGGAGGTTTAGCAAGGGAGAGTTGCTGTAGGGAGAGAGTTCATATATACAACACCGGGGTCCTACTAATTCTCTATCACACGGGACAAGGGAGAAGAACGCTCTCCCTGCTTTACATTTATTGTCCCTACATAACTGATACACCTTTTTTTCAGATTAAGATTATACACACACATTGTCCAAGAAGATTTCTCAATACTTCTTCCGTGTTACGTCTTACAGTCTCACATACTGGATACATATAAATCGATTGAACAAACAAGTATGAGCTATGACATACTGGTCATCATCTGGCATCTATTATTGCAGCAAACTTATCCAAGTTTTCCAACAGAAGGATCAAAGTTCCCTGTATTGTATGTGTCGCCTCAGACACAAGTACCACCTGCAGAAGCAACTGCATAGTACCTCACCCTGTTCCTTGTAAGCTGAAAGGTTGAAGTGCTTGTAGCAGCCTCAAGCAGATTCAGATCCAAGAGTAACAATGAGGTCATATCCAGCAGCTCCCACACAAGTACTCAACAACCACTCAAATAACACTTGTACATAAACATTCCAAAACAAAGTAGGATCACATTTTACTTAAAAAAAAAAATCAGAATTACTAATCGCTCCTCATGCACACTGGCAGTAGTAAACATCCTCGTTTTACTATATTAAATGTTAACTTCGCCGTACGTTTGTGCTGAATTTGACCATTCTTATGGAATTTGTTTTATCACCATATAATAGCGATGGCACCTAATCATTTCTTATTGTCTAATCAAAATAAAATTTAGCGCTTTCCATACCTGTTTGATTAAGAAATACGTATGAAAAGCAAGTATAAAATCCTGACTGGCTCTCATCACTTCCTGGTGAACGTAATACCTTGACGCCATCAGAGGCTGGCGTAGCTGTAGATAATACTAAGAGAGGTGAGTTGGGGGCTGAAGATCAGGTAGCGTTGACGAGTAAGAGAATCCTAAATATGGATTACATTAACATAATTTAACCTGTCATACGGTATCAAATATCTATGTTATATATAAACTTTATCCAGTTTCCGTAAAATGTAACACACACATACACACTGGAGTCCGGAAGAAAACGTTTAGTTGTATTAGTAAGTGTAAATTACTTACAAATGAGTAAACTAAAGCAAGTACAGTTCCTAGTTGATGCTTTTTCCTACTGGGTTATGGCTGTCAGACAAGTTTTCATCAGACCAGCAACACAACTGCTACCACAGATACAAAGCACGAATAATGTAGTATGGAAATCGTGACATGAGATTAAATGAATACTTGCATCTTTACACCACAAAAGTTTCCATAAATAATATCGTATAATCTGAGGGATGGCACTCACTCACAACCACAATCAGTTAGTATTTGGTGCCTCAAATAAATAAAACAATCCACATGACAAATAATCATTCATAACGGTGGGCAGCACAACATTATTGAATATGATACACATTCTTAGCATGTCTCTGTGGCCAGTGATCTCTCCTTGTTTCAGCCGGATAATCTTAGACTCTACTGTAAACGGTGCAGTGAAGAGACTGACTGATGCACTTGGTGTAAAACACTCACAAATTCGGAAGTCTAGACTGGTATAGCTGATAATCTTACATTTCATCACAACATCCAAACTCACCGAAAGATTTACAAGGAAGCTGGATACCTGTCTGGGTATTTTTGATTGTCCAACAACAATGAATATATAAGGAGGCCAAATTATCTATGCTTGTGTCATCAGAAAACATGTAGACTGCTCATCTGTGAAGAACAATATAAGGTTTGTGATGTTTCATAATAATGGACCCACTAAATGTTTTACTGAATTTCACATAAGGCATCACAATACAGACCTGCAGGTGGCAAATAAACCTGTTAATATTGTGTGGTAATATCAATGTCAACACACCAACATGATGACGATTTTGGAGTGTAAGTAAACGCTTAGTAGGCAATAAGTAAACCTAGGTAGTTATAGTTTGAATATAGTTAAAACAGTAACACAACTATTTTTACGTCCAGAATACCTCCAAATGACTAGATAGTGAAGCAAAAAGCAACACCAAAAGATGCCGACCACTTTTAACCCTTCAATTGTCGAGAGCTGCCAGGCGGATCCTTTGCCGGCCAAGTCAACCCACAACCACTGGACAGGTAAAATAAGGGTTATCTTTCAGTGTTCGTCAAGCAGTTCTAAACCGAGGTAAACTTCACTTCTCACTCTTTTAAGAAAATGAAAAGTTTTATGCAAAGGAACATTATCGAAGCTCCCTATTCTAACACATACGTCATCACACTGGCTTGGCGCATTAGACACCTAGCTTGCTGGAAAGTCGACTTCCTGAATACACACACAATACTAGATGTTCGACAATGTAGAGCAAGCTAATTGTCTAGACAGTTTTCAAATACACCAACAAACGACTTGACCTATGGTAAACATTATTTTTTTACAGAGAAAATGTCTTAGATTATTTACATTAACATCGCAGACGTTAAAGCTCGTGGTGGGAGTGGCAACACAGAGGGTGAGCAGTGGCTAGGACCTGGGACGCGCCAGTGACCAGGGCCCTCACACTAGGGGTGCCACAGTGACTGCGGCCCTCATACTAGGGCCATCAGTGACCGAGGTCCTCACACTGGGTGCGCCAGTAACCGTGACCCTCACACCTAGGGCACCAGTGACCAAGGTCCTCACACCAAGGGTGCCAGAAGAATGACCAAGGCCCCCACATCAGGGGTGCCACTAACCGTGGCCATAACACCAGGTGCCAGAGCTCAGCGTAATGCATCATCACGCGGCTGGTGGCGCCCATTAACACCAACATTATGTGAGGGTTCAGCAGGTGTGGGAGGGGGTGGTCCTACCATGAGTAGTTGGACGCCAGGTTGTAGTGAAGCACCAGCTGAGGGCGGGAAACTTCACTACTCCCGTCACCTGCTGCCGCCCATGCTGTTGATGCCACTGTTGTTGCTGCCGCCGCTGTTACTGCTGCTTGTGCTTGTGAAGGCTGCTGCGTTGCTGCTGCTCATATTGGTGTTCATGGTGTTACCCATAGCCACACTGTTGGCCATGCTTGTGTTCACTGGCGGCACGCCAAAGAAGGGCGTGGTGAAGGAGGTTGGGAAGTATGTGTGGGTGGGCGGGACGCTGGCGGCGGCCATGGAGGATGCCGTCCCCGCCCCGGCGTACCCCTAGTCATGTCAGATGGGCGTCGGGGGCACTGTGAAATCATGGAGAGCTGAGCGAACACTGTCGTAGAGGGGCCTGGAGTCCTCGCAGTAGTTGTCGGTGCAGAGGGAGTGGATCTTGGAGAGATAGGAGTCGAAGTTGTCATGACCGATGCGGTCGTTGGTGGGCGTTGTGCCGCCTCCGGGTAGCTTGACGTGCTCCAGTAGCGACATGACATTATTCCGCAACGACTCGTAATACTCGGTCAACTGCGCTCCCCTCTCACCAGCACCAGCCGCCTCCTGGAGGATAAAATTACTTTAGTACTCGAAGACCAGAGACAAACACACCCCTGCTAATATGTTCTCTCGATTCTCACACTCTCAAAACTACTTTCTCATCTTACTATTTTTATCTTGAAGATAAGCCAACTGATACTCCTTTAAACTGCAACTCTTTTATGAAAAAAAAAAAACTAGACAATAAAAACTTTAATCCAGGAACAAATGGACGCTTCTTTGAGGAGACAGCCCACGGGGCACATTAGATCATATAGAAAAAGGGATATGCAAAGTACAGGATTTGGACAATCATGGAAAGTGCAGTAGAGAGGGTAGGAGCACATATACTAACCAGTGCTAGCCTAGCTTAACCAGTGCTAACCTAACCTAACCAAGCAACCTAAGCTAACTTGTGCTTACCTTATTAAAACAAAATACTGTATAACCCTAAGGTAAAGATACACATGATTTACAAAACTATTTTCTTATATTATCAAGTATACACCTGTGCAAAGTTAAGAGTCGAATGAAGATTTATAAAGGTAACATCTATATATCTGTACAATATAACTCACATTAGAACCTGTAATATTTCTGTCTTTTTAATGTATTTTGTGTACGAGACATTTTGTTACAATTTATTACTGTTATTGTATTTATTAATTTAATATTTTCACATCACTGGCGAGTATACGATTCTCTTCTTCCTTCTGCCTTTCTCATTCTACCTCCCCCCTTTTCCTCCTACTCCTTCTCTATTCCTTCCCTACCTCTTACTCTAGTTTCTTCTTGAGAATACCTCCCACAATTCCCCTTCTCTCCTCCTCCTCCAGCCAGATAAACAAGCACATACCTTCTGTTCGACCTTGAGCGCAGCCTCCATAGAGGAGACGTCATGGCGTAATTTGCTCACGTGCACCTCCATGGAAGCGTTCTCTTTCTGCAACTCCGAGATCTCCGAGGCCAAGCCAGTGTGGTCCTCGCCGTCTGTGGGGGAGAACACACCTGTCAAACACATGCGGGGCAGGTGTGTGTGTGGGTACTGAGTAGGGGACAGGTGTGTAGGGATACTGAGTAAGTGGGCTGGTGTGTGGGGGTACTGAGTAGGCGGGCAGGTGTGTGGGGGTACTGAGTAGGCGGGCAGGTGTGTGGCGTTCTCTTTCTGCAACTCCGAGATCTCCGAGGCCAAGCCAGTGTGGTCCTCGCCGTCTGTGGGGGAGAACACACCTGTCAAACACATGCGGGGCAGGTGTGTGTGTGGGTACTGAGTAGGGGACAGGTGTGTAGGGATACTGAGTAAGTGGGCTGGTGTGTGGGGGTACTGAGTAGGCGGGCAGGTGTGTGGGGGTACTGAGTAGGCGGGCAGGTGTGTGGGGGGGTGTGGCAGCAGGCGGGCAGGTGTGTGGGGTACTGAGTAGGCGGGCAGGTGTGTGGGGTGAGTAGGGGGCAGGTGTGTGGGTACTGAGGGTGAGAGCAGGTGTGGGGAGTACTGGGTAGGGACAGATGTGTGAGGGTACTGAGAGAGGGCAGGTGGTGGGGGTTGAGCAGGATCAGGTGGGGGTACTGAGCAGGGGCAGGTGTGTGGGGGTAATGAGCAGGGCAGGTGTGGGGCACTGAGTAGGGGGCAGGTGTGTGTGTGGCACTGAGCTGGGGGCAGGTGTATGGGGGTACTGAGCAGAGGCAGTTGTGTGGGGGTACTGAGGGGCAAGTGTGTGGGTACTGAGGCAGTGTGTGGGGGCACTGAGAGGAGGCAGGTGTGTGAGGGTACTGAGTAAAGTGCAGGTGTGTGGGAGTACTGAGGGGAGGCAGGTGTGTGGGGGTACTGAGCAGGGGGCAAGTGTGTGGGGCACTGATTAGGGGGCAGGTGTGTGGGGTACCAAGGGGGCAGGTTTGTCGAGCACGCAGGGCACAGGTGTGGAGGGTACTGATTAGGGGCAGGTGTGTGGGGGGTACTGAGCAGGGGGCAGGTTTGTCGGAGTACTGAGCAGGGGGGCAGGTGTGTGGGGCTGACAGGGGCGGTGTGTGGGGGTACTGAGAAAGGGCAGGTGTGGGGGGCACTGAGCAAGGGGCAGGTTTGTCGGAGCACTGAGCAGGGGCAGGTGTGGGGTTCTGACAGCAGGTGTGGGGGTGGGCACTGAGCAGGGGCAGGTGTGTGCACTGAGTAGGGGCAGGTTGGGCACTGAGCAGGTGGCAGGTGTGGGGGGGTACTGGAGCAGGGGGCAGGTGTGTGGGGGTACTGAGCAGGGCAGGGGAGCAGGGGGGTGTGTGGGGGCATTGAGCAGGGGAGGTGTGGGGTGAGCTGAGGGGAAAGTGTGTGGGAGCACTGACAGGGGGAGGGGCACTGAGCAGGGGGAGGTGTGGGGGTGGAGGTGCGGGGCTGAGCAGGGGGGAGGGGGGGGTACTGAGCTGTGGGGGTGAGCAGGAGTGGGGGTACTGAGCAGGGGAGGTGTGTGGGGGTACTGAGCAGAGGGAAAGTGTGGGGCACTGAGCAGGGGGAGGGGGGACATTGGCCAGACATGTGTGGGGTAGGTGTGTGGGTGTAATGAGAAAGTTCTGTATGTATGGGAGTAGATGTAGGGGCAATAAACAGGTGTGGGAACGGTATGGATAAACGTGGGACATACTGGACAGGTTTGGGACATATTGGACAGGTGTGGGGCAACTGGGGCATACTAGACTCCTACCCAGCTAAAAACCAATAAAAATGAAAAGTTATTTTACCTTGCAAATAATAATGCTGGAATATAATAACTTTATAACTTAACACAAATGTAAATAAACAATAAGTAATAAACAGAGGGGAAAATGACAGAAACATATAAGACAAAAGAAGGAATAATATAGAATGAAGAGGAAGGAAAGACAGAAGATAGGAGAGAGAATAATGGAAATTAAAGTCGAATGTAAGTGAGGAAATGAAGCGATAGGGAAAATACTGTAAGAGAATAGAAAAAGGTGAAGACAGAAAAATAAAGATATAATGAGAAAAGACAAAAAGATAAATTACAAACAGAAAGAAAAGAGAAAGATAAAGGAGAGATAGACAGGAGAAAAAATATCTAGTAAGGTTTAATACAATAAAGCGAAAAGCCTAGCTATAGCAAGAAATATGTATGTATGTATGTATGTGTTGTGTGTGTGGGGAGAGAGAGAGCACACCTCACAAAACACCAATATACTCCTACATTCTACGTAGAGTTGCCATATTCAGCACCTCAGACCTTCAGCAACACTACACTACACTCTACATGTACTAACACCAGCGAGGAGAGTTAGGGAAGCGCCATTAAAACCAGTTAGTGGAGATAGATAAGAAATCCAATACGCGATATTGTTTTAGTAAGTTTTAACTAATTACGTAATGGTGATTCTACATGGACAGTCTCAAATATTCCAATGTAAATTTATCTTCAAGTATACTGCAGATGCAAGAAAGAATGTAACTAATCATTTGAGAGTCTTTTACTTGATTAGTATTTTGCATTGTTACCGAGTCTCATTTGTTTATTAATATTAAAGCCGATACAGTGTTAATGATTCTATTGGACGGATTCCCCTTACTGTATAGCCCTACCCGAAGCCAAACGCGATGGTCTATATCAAAATTGGAATATGCGTGAAAGATGGAATGGTGTTGTGATTAACCGTCTGTATTAATATTTTGTTCTAAACACTAATACAAATACTTTTCTGTACAATTGTCTAAAAATATACTGAAGTCTAAGTATTACTGTTTCGATAAAGCCAAGATTTACGTGCGACGCTACCCCAAGTGATGGCTACCGTAGAGTTGGTAGCCCTGGCGAGATATGTGTACAGTATATAATATGAACACTCTTCCCTTGAGAGCATTAAATATCAGTGATGGGGAAATAGTTAGTTATATAAAACCTTTTTAAAGACAAAATAATAGCATAAAAACATCTATTATTTGATTGAACTTAAGTAATTGGCCATCAACAGGTTAGAATAAACGAACTGTGTCTAGAAGTAGTTATGGAAAAGGAATGTACCATAAATATCAATTAGGACCATATTGTACCATGATTATTAAAGGAAATATTATGGGGTGGTTGATAGAAAATTTGTATTAATGAGAATTGCATGGTTTGTTATAAGTCAGTTCAGTAGAAAGATTGTAAACTAGTAATCACTGGAAGAATGCATTTAACTCGATAGAAGATTTTTTACCATAGGTAAACGATGGAACAACTTGTACTTATATTAACATATATATCTATGGAACAACTGAGTACCACAGGGAACACTTTTTTACTCTTAACTACACACTACTATTACTACACACACTATTAAGCACTACTAGTAATGGTGAGAATAATATTAATCATAATAATACATGTATATTCATATTATTGTTTGCAGTTGGAAAATGTGTTTACAATTTTCGTGGAATACATATATGTATCTTCTAACCCAGCGATAATATATGTATACTGGTGTAAAATACATAATAATACATAAGTCTTTACATGCATACCGTAACACACTGATTTCGTGTTTTATATTTATGAACAGTAAGTGTGTGTGTGTGTGTGTGTGTGTTCTAGTGGTGGTGCAGTGGCGTTTAGTGTCGTGGGTGAGGCGGTAGTGTGATAGTAGTGGTGTGACGGGGATGGTGTGTTTGGGGTGGTTTGGGAATTGTGGTAGGTCCTGGGTGGTGTGACAGAGGTGGTGTAGGTTCTGGATGGGGGAGGGGAGAAGATGGGGTCCAGAATTGGTATGTCAAGGGTAATGTGTTTGAGTGAGGGTGGTGGAATGTGTGGCGAGAGGTGGTGTCCCTGGGGTAATGGGTCAGAGATGGTGGCAGGGTGGTGTGGCAGGGGAGGTGGCAGGGGTGGTGGTAGGGGTGGTGTGCAGTGGTGGTGTGGCAGGGTGGTGGTAGGGGTGGTGGTAGGGCAGTGGTGGGGCGGGTGGTGCGGCGTGGTAGATAGGTGTGGTAGTGGTGGTGTGGTGGGGTGATGTGGTGGAATTGTATGGTAGAGAAATGTCTCATGTGTGGTGATTGTGGGTGGTGTAGGAGTGGTAGTAGTGGTGGTGGTGTAGGAGTGGTAGGGGTGGTATGGTGATTGTGTGGCAGGGGTGGTGTGGGAGGGCAGTGGTGGTGTGGTAGGGTGATGTGGGATTGTGTGGTGGGTTGGTGTGGTGTAGAGAGGTGAACTGTGTAGTAGGTGGAACTTAGCAATGGGTGGCACTATGTAGGGGTGGTATGGTGGTATGAGTGTTGTGGTGTGGTAGGTGGTGTGATTGGGTATGGTGGTGAGTGAGGTGGTGGGGTTGGGTGGTGGTGGTAGGTGTGGTGTGGCAGAGGTAGTGTGGCATGTGGTGTGGGGGGGCATTGTGGGGTGTTGTGGTGTTGTGGGGACAAGGGTGGTGGTGGATAGTGGCGGGTAAGGGTCAGGTAGAGGTGGGGTATGGGTGGTGGGTAGGGGTGGTGTGGTAGGGGTGTTGTGGTAGGTGTTGTGGTAGGGGTGTTGTGGCAAGATTGTGTAGGGTGTTGGTAGGGGTGTTGGTGGTAGGGTGGTGTGGCTGGTAGGGGTGGTGTGGCAGGGTGGTGGTAGGGTGGTGGTAGTGGTGTGGTAGGTGATGGGTGGTGTTGTGGTATGGGTCGTGTGGTAGGGGTGTTGTGAAGGGGTGGTGTGGTGGGGATGTTGGTGGTAGGTGGTGAAGGGGGATGGTAGGGGTGGGTGAAGGGTGTGTGTGCGGGGTGGTGTGGTGAATTGGGTAGGGGTGGTGTAGTGGCATTGTGTGCAGGGGGTGGCATGGTGGCATTGTGGGAGGATGTGCGGGATTGTGTGGTAGGGTGGTGTGACTGTGTAGGCAGTAGAGTAACTGGGTAGGGGTGTAGTGGCAATGTGTGGTAATGGTGGTGTGGCGGACTGGTGTGGCAGGGGTGCAGTAAGGGCGGTGCAGCAGCATTGCAGGGTGGTGGGCTGGTGGGGTGGTGGGTGGTGTGCTGGGGCGGTGTG